GTAAGTCTATTTGTAAAGGATTCTTCTAGTTTACACAGTTTCATATGTGAAATTCTTAAGGCTAAATGGGCTAGCTTAGCTTTGATTTTGGCTACTAATAAGTTGCTATTAGCTTCCTTGCACTGACCTATTAGTTCCTCTGCGTTATATAATTTGTTTTCTATCGTGTCAAATTCATCTTTAAGTATGATTTTCCCTTTCAAATTAATAACATTTGTTGGAACGTCTTGACATAACCTTAATTGCCTCCTTAAACTCTGAACATCATTGTTGATAATTTCTTGTCCTCTTGATAAGAGCTCATATGTTAGCTCTTCTTTGATAAGGTAATTCAAGTTAAATTTAGACATATTTATGAAATTATCTTGCTATAGATTCATGCTCATTTAGTAATTAGGCTGTAATGTAATATTTCACTCTAGGCTAGTACAAATTAGGCTTGGATAAAACTTTAAAAGTAGGCTATAGTGATTTCCAGATTTTTTGTTATATTTTGTTGTTCTGTATAGCAGAGTCGTGCATATATTTATACTCGTAAGGTCCAATAAAAGTATAAATGTAATGATTTATACTACAGAACTATATAACTTCAATAGGATTCAGCCTAAGTTAAAAAGAAGCCATTTCATTTTCATGTACAACACTGACATTTTATTACAAAATAAATGAAATCATAACAAATATATACTTTTGCTTTAGTTAAATTATACCTCTGTATCTCAGCCCTAAATACCTAATTATTTAATTGAAACAGTCTTACTTTATGATGGCCTTCCGTAGAGCTCTATTTTTAATACAGGAACTCGTAATGTCTACGAGATTTGCCTGCCATGAGATACAGAATTATGAATGAAATCAAACTTAGTGAGGGAAATGAAAAAAGAAACAATGTTACCACTACAAACAATTCAAATAAATCAATTTTGCTTCTTACATACTATAACTAAATTTGCTGGATTTTTTTTTAAACAAACAATATAAGAATCAGTATACGAGCTGTTGGCCCGTCCCACGTACGGGAATAGAGTAGTCCATTAAGTGTATAGCATGTATATTACTAATTCAAACATAGTCTAGGCAGTTCAAAAATTATAGTAAAAAAAAGCTGCCAAGATGAATTAAAACTAGTTTTCATTGTTATTTTCTCAACCTCTCCTCAAAAAGTCGAGTAGTAAAATAATGTTCATAAGCTTTCTTTTGAAGATTCATGAGCTTCGATTCGTATACAGCAATGGTTATAGAATCTTACTTATTTCCTATAATCAATGACAAAATCACAGAGTAAATAAACTGACCTCATAGTTCTATGTAATATTATTTTATTTAACCAGCTGTTAGCTATAAAAAATTGTATTGCACTATAACAAACTATAAACATTTTAAAAAACTGCTCAAAAGAATAAATTAAAACATCTAGTATTTTGCTTTGTATATTTAAATAAACTCTCATCATCTTACCGAATAAATGGAATAAATGGTATCAATGATTAAAGCATTACACATAGTATAAATAAGTCAATTCTACGTACGTTATTTCATTTTCATCCAAATGCTGAATTTGTGTCTAAAACGCTGAATGTTTACAGCTGTTTAGCAAATTATATCACACCAAAAGCTAGTTCAGAATGTTAGCGTCGACTGCTAGACTCTAAAAAAAATTAAAACTTAATTTCTAAAAAACTGGACCATAAACTAAAATTATGGCATCTACATTCCCTAGTTCTATCTTTCTTTCAACACAAGAATCATGAAAATCCGTGGTTGATTCAGAATTGTGAAATAAAAAAACCCTGTTACATTTTAATATTATAGATTTACGAGAAACAGATTAAGCATTGACTTTGGAAAAGTATTGTATTGTTATGCTAGGTCCGCTCAATATTGCAAGCAGACAACTGCATTTTGCACCTAGTTAGTTATATAAGTTTTAGTGTACTTTCAATTTATTATTGTGGAAATTTTAACCTGACAATCCACAACCAGTATTTTATTTTACAGTCGATTGCTAGAGTATAGGATAATTGTAACTGAGTGTATTTAAACAAAAACTATTAAACCCAAATTAGATAATTAATAGAATAGTAACTAATTGTATGTAATCTACTGATTAGTCATTAATAAAATTAATATTTGAATACCGCGATTGCGATTTTCTGACTGCTTGTGCTTAGTGCTTAAACGAGAAATTTAATGCCGGTCGTCAGTCGCACAGTTCAGTTTTAGATTTAGATTCAGATTACTGTGTTTAATAAGCCAATCATCGATCTCAGGTAAGAGACACAACTCTCGGCTTTAAAAAGAATATGTATTATTTTTTACCATTATCAGGCAGCTAAGTACTTATTACAATGTGAGGACTAGTTGAAGGTATTCATGTAAAAGATACTAGGAAATCACTGCGAGTGTCAACCAATCAAAGTGTATTATTGTCAAATACCACAGCTTTAGATTGGAAATAAGATCATTTTAAATGTATAGTTTACTATATTTTGTCCAAAGACAATTTTCGTTGTATATTTTTTACAGTTTTTAAATGAGAAATATTTCAGTAATATATCACCTAGGGTGGATTAAGTATTATCTGCATAAGAGACATCTAGCGGAAACTAGATGAACTGTCACGAGGCTCGATGGTAGCAAAGCTAGCGGTGATTGACTGAACTAGTCTCAAATCTCTTTGTACACCCGCTGTAGCAAACCTGATCTGAATTTCATGGATTTTTACCAAAATAGTGTCACATTTATTTCCTACCCGCGGCTTCGCCTGCGATGGTCAACCATAAATATTATACATGTTAAGAAATAAACAGAGTATTAACAATCTTTGCAACAATATGGTGTAGTAGTGGCTGCGACAACGATCACAAAATTAAGATATTATATTCATTGCGTCACGCGCAGTTAAAAAAATCATGTTATGATTAATGATTCTACAGCGATTAAATTGCAATTAAAACTAATTGAAAACCATTTGTTTAAATCACTAACTAAAAAACCTTACAACATAAAATCTTGAAACTGAAAATGCCGCGACTCTTTAGCTTCTCCAAGTGTAGTTCTTTCATTGCTTCACATTTATAATACATACTAGCATAGTACCTGTCCTACGTACAGGATTGGCAATTAATTGGCATAAGTATAAAATGCTTATTGCAGTTGTACTCAAGCTTTGCGTTTGCAATGGGGGAGGACACTGTTTGATAAATCTTGTTCTTTACATTTACGTTATGCTATAGTATAACACATCTACCATAGCCATAATGCTCTACTGCTGTACCCAAACAATAGAAATAAATAAACTATCAAACATTCACACAAATTATTCATTAAATTAATCCAAGAGCCTAAACATAACTGTAAACAATCCTACTTGACAGTTCTCATTGTGTTTCACAGCTTTTCGTTGCTGATAAGTTCAAATTAGCTATTGTCGTAAATGCAAAATATTATAATGCTGCTCCCTGTTGGTAAACCTTATAACTTTTGAATGCTATTGCATATCATAATAGAAAAATACCCCCGCCGCAGCAAACCTGCAGACTAAGCGAATTTCCATTTCCCTGAATGGATTTACACTAAAATGTCTCCTTAAAATTATCACATTTATTCCCTATTTAAATAGAATCAGTTTAAAACATACTTAGGTTTGCTGCAACAGGGAGGGTAAAAGTGTTTTTTATGTAAAATGTTAATAGTTAGTAAGAAATAAAAACATTTTCCAAATTTGGGCAAAATATGTTTATAAACAAGCAAACTACAACAGTTTACTTATTCTCCATAAGAATAACATGGAAATTTTAAATTTACAATTTTTTGGAATTTTCTCCGTAACCATTAGGCGCATTATAACGCTTCAATATACTAAATTATTTGTTTTTTTAAGCTCTACAAAATAGTTTCGAAAGAAATTGCAAAATTTTATGTTTTTTGGGTCAAAAATGGGAAAAACCCATTTTTACCCCATAACAGCCCCCATAAACCCCCGTTCCCATGGTCCAATCATGCTGGTTCGTGAACTCGTTCGAATAAACGTAGGTTTACACGTTTGTACCAAATTTCATCAAAATCGGATCATTTTTGCTCGAGTTATCGCGCTAACGGACACATATATATATATATATAAATATATATATATATATATAAATATATATATATATATATGAATTTGAACGGATGGTGTTTTTGACCTCTAGGGACCTCAAAACGAAAAAAAAAATCGGTCCCGGGTCCAGGTCTTACCGTGAGTACTACGGTAATAGCTTATTCCCTATATGGGAAATTCGCTAATAGAATATTTAACAAATGTCTTTAAACAAACTTGTTTAGTTGAAACAGCTGACTATGTTCTTTAATTCCTTTTAAATGTGAATACTCATACAGAGCTACTGGGGCTGAGTCCGATCTGATTTTTTAGATAAGAATTGGCCTATGTTAATCGGGAATTCTGGAATTTGAGCTGTCATCATGCCGAATTTAAACCCAATCCTTCCTGTAGTTAATACGTGATTGAACTTTAAACGAACAAACAAACATAAAAACAAACAAACAAACTTTCACATTTAAAATATTAGTATGATAAAAATGACTATTAGCTAATATGAGACCAGCCATTAGGAAATTACATTAGGTCTCCTAATTACTAAGAAAATTCCTAAAAAAATACTAACTTATCTTTTACATTTTGGAGAAAGTATTGGATCTATACTTTATTATGTTTATACTTTATTTAGAAATACAACGAATAAAGATTATTGTAATCGAATGAGCCACGTCAGTTATGTGCGTAATTTAGTAAAATTTTGCAATTTAATTTGAGGGAGAGGAGGTGAAAACACTAAAGGGGATTTTAGGGGACTTTTGGTACAATTTACATCTTTGTGTGTACTACACAGTGGTATATAGATTTAATTGTGTCACTATTTTATTCCATTACCAAACCTTTACGGACTAAGTTATTATTTCTTATGTTGTTTTTGTTTTATATGGTTATAAAATTACAGGTAAAGAAACGGGTACAACTAGCCATTTGAATCTTAAGCCAATCATCGGTCTCAACTCAGGTAAGAGACTTTGTTCCATTACCAAACCTTTACGGACTAAGTTATTATTTCTTATGTTGTTTTTGTTTTATATGGTTATAAAATTACAGGTAAAGCAACGGGTACAACTAACCATTTGAATCTTAAGCCAATCATCGGTCTCAACTCAGGTAAGAGACAAAAATCTCGGCTTCTTAAAGAATCAAAACAATTTTTGCTAAACAAAAAGTCTTTCATCTACTAAGAGTCGGATCGGTTGAGGGTAGTCTTGTAAGACAAACTAACAATTCACTGCGAGTGTCAACCGTTGAAAATGTATTATTGTCAAATACCACAGCTTTAGATTGAAAATAAGACATTTTTAAATGTGTAGCTTACTACATATTACCTAAAACCAATTTTGTTTCTATTTTTGATTTAGTTTTTAACATTTAAAATATATCAGTTATATATAAACTATAGTGGATTAAGTGTTATCGGTTGAAGAGACATCTAGCGGAGACTAGGTGAACTGTCGCGAGCCTCGACGGTAGCAACATCAAGCGGTGATTGACTGAACTAGTCTCAAAACTGCTCATGGTAATAATATTTTTTAAGAATATTATTTTATAAACAAAATTCAACTGTATGACTTACCTCGATATAAGTCTGTTTTTATTAACTCAGGTGAAGACTTATTTAGGCTTTCTGCTTCCTGGGAATATATAAAATTGGTTCCGATGTGCCTATGAATTATGAAAATATAGCACCTAAACCTTTTTGGTTTTATGATTTTAAGTTACGCTTACCAAATATTTTACTAGATTTTCTTAAATATCAATATTGGAAGTCAAATAGTTTAATATGGGTTTTATGTCTCTGTAATTTTTGCGAGTTACCTTAATTTTGCTTCGTACAAAAGGTTTTAGCTTGACTAAAATAAAGCTATTATGAAATGATCATGCACGTGTAGATGTATTTGAGTAGTTTCAGTGTTTGTTGAATATCATTTACGCATTCTATATTACAAAATAATTAATAATGAATTAATTAATTAATAATTAATTAATAAATAATTAATAATAATATTTTATATTATTTATCAAAGTATTATTACTGTCCATGAAATTAAAATGAAAAATGTATTATTCAGAAACATTAAATTATATTTACGGTTGTTATATATTTTAAAACATTTTTATTAGCTCACTTTCTTGTCCAGTACAAATTTTGTAATCAATTTTACACTAACTTCCCTATGAGCTAGAGACTTGAAACTTAGCTCACAAATGGATTTACGAGAAACAGATTAAGCATTGATTATGGAAAAGTATTGGATTAATATGCTAGCTCCGCTCAATATTGCAAGCAGACAGCTTTATTGTACACCTAGTTAATGTAATTGGATTTTTAATGTATTATCATGGTCAATTTAACTTGGCAATCCGAAACATATTAGTTTATTTTACAGTCGATTATAAATCACACAGTGTTAGATTATGTATTCAGGGATTATCCATAAAGTCACGCACGTGCTTAATATATTCTAAACGATACAGATAGGCTAAATCAATTAGATTTGGTAACACAACGGAACCTAAAACCTTTGACTATCAATACAACATCCAATAGTCAATGCTAAAACTATAGTTTTTGAAGGAACTGTCAGTTTTCTGCCGTATCATGGGGACATCCCGCAAGGAAATCTTAAATAGGTAGGTGCATAGTAGATTGATATGTACCACGATTTAAAGGGCTTTATTAGCAGAATACAATGCAGCGAAATTTACTCAAACTGACACCAACGATTTCAACCCTGAAATTTCAACAGGGTCAAATAACACGTCATCGGCGAGCGGATCTAAAAAGCGGTTACGCTCCAAGTATCCAGTTTAAATACCCTCCTTGAAAGATTTTTGTGTCTTGAAAAGATGACAAAGATTTCAATCGGTTTCATTGACGTCGGTTCAATCTTGGGAAGAAAAGAAATCGGAAACTCACTGATAATGGCCAAGTTTGTAACTCCAGATCGGTCGCTTTCAATCGGCAAATTTTTGTTTCATGCGGTGAAGATATTAAGTGTAATTGTGATAGGAGAGGATAGAACAATATTTTGTGCGTTGGGAGAACTCTGGGGAGAACTTTTAAAAATATAAAACAACAGTAAAAATAATTTAATGTTTTTAAATAATACATTTTCTTTCATTTTAATTTCATGCACGGAAGTAATATATGGAGCTAATATAAGAATCCATAAAGGAAGCCTAAATAAGTATTCACCACCTGAGTTAATAAAAACATACCTATATCGAGGTACAGTAAGTGTCACAGCTGAATTTCGTTTCTAAATTAATTAGTGGGTGTAAAACTATTTATATGGCGAGGAGTTTTGAGACTAGTTCAGTGAATCACCGCTAGACGTAGAGGCTCGCGATAGTTCACCTAGTCTCCACTAGGTGTCTCTTAAACAGATAATACTTGATCCACTGTAGTTTATATATTAGTGATAGATTTTAAATGTTTAAACTATATAAAAATATAAAACACAATTGGTTTTAGGTAATATGTAGTATGCTACACATTTAAAGTTGTCCTATTTTCAATTTAAAGCTGGGGTATTTGACAATAATGCATATTCATCGGTTGACACTCGCAGTGGTTCGTTAGAATCTCTTAGAAGACTACCCTCAACTGGGCCCACTCAAGTGTTGAAAAGATGTTTAAAACGTTTTAGTTTCTTTGAGAAGCCGAGAATTGTGTCTCTTAGTTGAGACCGATGATTGGCTTATAAATTAAATCTGACTCTGCGTGACAAGTTTCCTTAGTTTCTCTTTTGAGATCAAGCTGTCGAAGTCGTAATCTTCGTACGTAATCACATGTTCAAATTATTAACACTCTCTCTCTAATAATTATTTTGACGTTTGAATAAGTTTTTAAAAACTTCGGCGTGTACCGCCGATGGACATCGTTACATTGGCGATTGTAAGCATAAAAAACTGCATTTCAGAGTCTTTTTGAGTGTTTCTACTATGTATTCGTGTTTGTAGAAGCCACATGAAACGTGTCCACGGATGGTACATGAACCAAATTCTGGTTACATTAATAATAAAACCCAAACTTACAAACACGTTTTTTTATTTTAACAAAATATCTTGTTTCAATACAAAAAGTTGAACTAAAAAGTCATGTTTACTGCTCAAAGTCTGTTTGTAAGTTTATTGAATGTACTTGTTTCCAACATGATGATATGATTACAGGTTGGTTAGCCACGTGGTGCACGGTTTAATTAGCATAATTATTATCTTATTTTGTTACTGAAACTGTACAAGTAGTGTACAGTTGATAAATAATTAATTATATCCAATTATTCATATAAACATACTATCATTTGTTTAAGTCTATAGTAATGTGTACACACATTTACTTTTTTGGCTGAAATTTCATTCGTGCGGCACTACGTCAGAGAAAACGTGTTTTTAATGAATACGTTACAACTAATTACTACAGTATTCCATTACTAATCAAGTTCGGGTTCACTAGTTGCAATAAAATATGTCCAGTAGCAATAACTATCATATACTCCTATGTAAGCAATGTTTGCTTGTACGTATGCACTAGCTGTAGCCCGTCGGCTTCGCGCGACACACTGTTAGTTAGGTTTAATATTTTATAATTTTAATATAATTATTTAACTATAACCGGTCTTATACTATGAACCCGCTGAAGTTGAGACTTTACTACAGAACTACTCACTCTCACATGATCAACTTGCATAATATTTTTACCAACAATTTTCTAACTGTTTTATTTTCTTTCACTTTATAATACTGTAATACCCTTTTGACCAAGTTTGGCAATGGCACAGTTGGTTTTCTCATAACTTTACGTAAACGTATTAGAAAAAACATCATTAGCTCTTTTGATCTGGTAGTGTTTGAATAAGTATGCAGGCTTGCTTACATATACCTGTATTAGCCTTTATTGAAAGCTATAACCATTTTACCCTGTTATTACAACAAAAGACGTGTGTTTATAACAAACCGTCTACAGTATACTTGCAAATTACAATATACAGTACGAAGGGGAAAACATCTGTTATTATAAAGCAAAGATTACACTAAAGATTAATTGATATTGTAGAAAGTAGCTCCAATGAAATACCGATTATTTTACTTGGCTCTCTTCTACCAAAACGTAATTCCTGAAGTACTGAGGCAATTGTTAGCAAACTTTGGTTTAGCAGTGAAATAAACATTTAATAGTGCTTTTTTTGTAAACCATATTTCAAACAAACATGTTTAATTAGTTTTGTTTAGGAATCAACATTGTCTCCTCCACAAAATGGCCCCTTTGCAAAGCATGGACACAATTGGATACTAGTAATTAAATTTGTCATTTAAAGGTAGTATTTTAGTGAAAATTCATCCAGGTAAATGGACATTCGCAAGGTCTGATCGCAGTCTGAAATTTGCTGCAGGGGTTTAATGAGTTTTAACACTAGTTCAGTCAATCACCGCTTGATGTCGCTACCGTCGAGGCTCGTGATAGTTGACTTAGTCTCCGCTAGATGTCTCTTAAACCGAAAATACTCAATCAACGATAGCTTATATAATACTAATGTTTTTTTTATTGTTTACACTGTGTCAAAAATAGAAAAAAATTGGTTTCTAACAATAAGTAGTAAACTATGCATTTACAATAGTCTATATTTAATTTAAAGCTGTGGTATTTGACAAAAATACATTTTTACCGGTTGACACTCGCAGTGATTTTTTAGTATCTCTTACAAGACTACCCTCAAATACATCCCGTCTTTCATTGTATGATATACTGCACTGGTCAAAAGGAACAAAACCCAATTTAATTCTTAAATTTTATTCGATATGGCTTATTCGATTACAATAACTTACAATTCGTTATATTCCATAACAAAGTTCCTATCCTATACGTTTTTGCGATAAAACCAATACTTTCACCAAAATAAACGGATTAGTTGGTAATTTTTTAGGGATATTTTAGTAATTAGGAGACCTAATGTAGTTTCCTAATGGATAGTATCTTATTGGCTAATGGTCATACTAATCATACTAATATTATAAATACAATAATGTGAAAGTTTGTTTGATTTTATGTTTGTTTGTTAGTTTGAAGTACAATCACGTATTAACTAATGGACGGATTGGGGGATCAA